AAAAAAAAAAAAAAAAAAAAAAATAGATAATTAAAATTAGTGAATGTGCAAACCAGTTTTTGATACCGCTATCTTTGACGATTTTTTATATTTTTTTGGAATTGCCAAATGCCCTGAAAATTTATATATTTGTACTTCGGATCAGGTTTGCTAGACCGAACGTACGGAGGCCCCTAAGTTGACCACCGAACGTTCACGCGTTCGGGTCCCCATATGGGGCCCGAACCTGAAGGGTTTCGGAACCCACAAAAATATAGTTTGACACCTAAATATTATTATTATTATTATTTTATTTTTTTCAGTTTTTTGTGGTGTAAGGTATCTCCCTCCTAATTTAAAAACCATTCTGTTCAGCAAAAAAAAAAAAAAAAAATTGGCAAAGATGGTGCTGTCAAAACTTGTTTGCCCACTCACTAAATTATTTTTTTTCTCTTCTCACTTTCTGTTTTTCCTTTATTTCTGGGCATGAAAAAAATTATTTTTTTTCAAACTTTATTTGTGCATTCTCTATTATGTAAAATACATATACATAAATTTTCATGATATTTATCACAGTCAAAAAAAAAAAAAAATCACCAAAAATGGCGGTGTCTAAAACGTGCTTGCCCTTTTAATAATTACATTCTCGTTTTATTTTTTAAAATTTTTATTATCATTATTTATTTTTAGTATTTGATTTTTATTTCAAATTCGGTAAAGAATTTGGATGTAACGCTGAGGCAAATGTTGTTTAGTTTATTCTTCTGTAGAAAATATATTGTTTTCAAAGTTTTTGGATTTTTTTTAATATTTTTTTACCACGTTTGGCCGAACGCATTGAGAGGGGGTGTCGAACGTTCGGGCGTTCGGGTTCAGGTGTGCAGCCCGTCCCGAACACCAGCGACCCTGCTTCACATAATAAAAAACTCATTAAAAAAAAATCAAAAAATAATATAATTGTCTAGGCCCGGAAATAAAGTGAAAACAAAACATAAAAAGTGAAAAAGAAAAATTATGAATGGGCAAACACGTTTTGACACCTCTATCTTTGAAGATTTTTAATTTTGTTTGGTTATGCAAAATAACTCCAAAATTGATAGGCATGTACCAAATATCATATAGAAAGCACAAAACAAAATTCAAAATATATATTTTTTTGCGGGGGCCGAACCCCTTCTGGTTCGGACTTTGAACGCCCGAACGTACGGAGGTTCGCCCGGGGGC